TGCCGCTTCCTACAGCAAATATCAATTTGAGGAATTCCTTATTACATTTCAGTAACTGATAAATGATATGATATGATCAATTCAGTCAAACAAAGAAGCATTTATCATTTTGAACACATATAACATATTGCTATTATCAAATGAAAAATTTTTTGGTAAAATAGGCAAATATGGCGATAGCAATGAAAATTATAACTCTCATTATATTATTAAATGGTTGCTTGCATTTATTTAAGAGAGAGAAGCCGAGGCATTGTAATAATATGAAAAATAATGTTTTCATGAAAAGCAATCGTTGAAAAGCTGCCTAAATAGCTTATATGTAGCCAAGTAACCAACAAAATTCAGCGAATATACTAATACTAATAATAATAATATTCGTAAAAAAATTTTATTCATTGTAATAATTTGCAATAAAAAAAAATGATAAGAAAAAATCTTTAAAAATTAAATTTAATTAAAATCTATTTTCTTCAAAAAAGAAATCGATGAAATTTATCCTTTTTTTTTTCGCGAAATTATTAATAAAAAAATTGAAAATATTAAAAGAAAAAAATAAAAATTATTATATGAAATTTTTTTATGAATTAGAATAATTTCATTTTTGTTATAAAGAATTTTTTTAATTTAATTATTTAATTTTAATTTTTATTTAATTTTAATTTCATTTTATTTATATTCAAATTTAAGAAAAATTCATTTTATTTAAATCAATTTAAATTTAAACGATTAATAAAAATTGAAATTTTTATGATAAATTTAGCGAAATCTTTGAGAAATGAACGAACACATAAAAATTCCATAGTTTTCTCAAATTTTATATCGTCTACTAATGCGAAGCAAAAACGTTAAATCAATAAAAAAGAATTTTCTCCATTTAATGCTTTCTTTCTTCTTCATCTCAACGTATCATGAAACGTAACGTCACGTAGCGTCACGCCAGCGTCTAATTTCATTTCGATTCAATTTTTTTTATAAAAATCAAAAATTTAATAGATCGTTTTAATCAACATATATGAATTAGATAACGTGTGGAAAAAAATTGATAATTTGATTATATTCTTTCCTTATTTTGAATAAAATAAAAAAAATTAAAAATTAAAAAAAATTATTATATATTTCTTCTTTAAGCGAAATAAATATTCAAATCAACCAATAAATTATCAATTATCAATAATCAAAAATAAAAATTTATCACTTAGAGTTGTATTATAAATAAAACCAAATATTGCCGTTGCAAAAAAGAAAAAATTTAAATTTTTCTTGAAAAAATTCTAAAAAAAGCGAATATAAGTTCCATAATTGAGTTCCATTTATCCCTTTTTTTTTTTATTTTATAGCGCTAACAATAAAATCTTGCAAAAATCTGCATGCGACGAATCAAAATGCTTTACGTAAGGCGATAATCGTCCACATCCGAATATCGAACTGACCAATAAATCACGAAAAATCAAATCGAATAATCATCAAACTATTTAGAAGTTTTAAAAAAATATGCTTGAACAAGAGAAAAAGGTCGAACACTTTAATTCCTATACAAGCTAATAAAAAAAAAGACGAAAAGATGAAAATATTTCCCTTATTGGTACACTTCAATGAATCGAGCATCGAAATCAACCGAGCGGAATTAATTTTTAAAATATAAATTAATTTTTTTAAGAATTAAAAAATTCATTAAGAAAAAAAGAAAATAAAAGTCGCAATTTCATAATAATAATAATATTAATATTAATATTAATAAGTAATAATATTGTTGCTATAATTAATGATAATAATAATATTAATAATAATAATTAATAATAATAAAAATAAAGATAAATAAATAAAATAATAATAATAAAAGTAATAATAAAAATAATAATAGCAAAAGTAATAATAATAAAGGTAAATAAGGAAAAGAAATTAAAGAATTCGCTATTATTAGCTTAATATAAAATTATTTATATTTAATTAATTCTATAAGGAAAAGACAAGAAAAATAACGATCAAGAGGAATAATTATCGAGCAATTTCGAATGTAATGAACTTTTAAAATAGCACTGATCATCCTTCATTTAAAAACTCCTATAAAAATAATAAAATTTCGCAATGCTTCGAAAACGCTTTTTTTTCTACATCTAACTAAACAAACTTTTATTTTTTAAAATTTTAGTAGAATTACAGTAAAAAGAAATATAATAAAATAATAATATTGGGAAAAATTTAAGAAATAAAAAAAATATAATGAATAATGAAGAGATTTTACAAAAAATCTAAAAAATTTAATTATTTGGATCTTTTTAAATTAAAAATTCAAACATTTTGAACAAAAAATTAAAATAATTTCAGTATTATTCAGAAAAAAAATATAAAAATTTATTTAAAATATATGAAAAGTTAAAAAAAAAATTGATTTCTCAAGAATAGTGGCATTGGATTGGGAATTGAAACGTTTTAATTGTAGCGAAAAGAAATAGCAATGGTACGCGATTGTTAAAAAAAGATTCTAATTCAAATCGTATAAAAAACTCATTTAAAAAATATCTGAAAAAGAACCCAATTTTTAATAGCCCGAGGCTAATATAAGCTTTTCGCTATTTTTCCATGTTTTTTCTTTTCTGCCAAATTCTATGAGAAAAAAATCACTTGTGTGGAATTTTCAAAAAAAAGCCAGGTCTTTTTTACTTCAAAATTTTTTTCTTAGTATCTCAACATTTTCCATTCCCTTATAATTTTTTTTTTTTTTTTCAATTCTTAATATCGCTTCACTTATTTCTCCTATGCGCACCATTACTGGTTAAGTTCACTCCGTTGGCTATAATTTTCAACGAAAAAAGAAAAAACAGCTAATGGCAAATGGCCTTCGTTTAAAAAAAAAAAGAAAACCACATCAAAACTGATAATTTTATGTTTGATTATCATTAAAATTAAAAGTTATTTCAATAGTTATTTTAATTAATAGAAAAAAATAGTTGAAATTGACTAAAATAATAACGATTTAAACTATTTTATATAATTATAATAAAAATTATATAATAAAAATTTGAAATATTTAACGGAAAAAGCGAATAAAACGTTTAAGGAAAGAAAACAATAATTGAAAAAGAAATTGAAAAAATTAAAATCAATGCGCACATTATTACTATTATTATTATTATCATTATTATTATTATTACTACTCGTTTTTACTAACTAATGAACATGAAATTCCGATATTTTTGTGGATGAATAAATTAACGTTAGCATAATCAATAATAAATTTTAATTAATACCAAAAGCAAATGGCAAATGCCAAATATTTTTAATAATTTTTTAAATATGAAAAATTAAATTTAAAAATTAATTTATTTAATAAAAAAGCAAAAAATAAATGAAATAGAAAAATTTCCTTGTTTTTATATATTTTGACTTAAACATAAACAAATAAATGAAATCTGCGAAAAAAAAAAAGTCAGCGATGATTTATTTAATTAATGAATGCTTATTTTAAAAAGGCAAATAATAATTGAAATGAAATGAATTTATTTATTAGAATTAAAACGACTGAAAAAGAAGAATGCCGAATGTTACGACTTATTTAACATAAATAATAGAAAGCATGTAAATTTGCACGTAAATTTAAAAATTTGCAAAAAAAAGCAAAATTTTTATTAAAATTTATTTTTAATATTTTTATTTTTTATTTTTATTAAAGCTTAGTGCCGGTGGGTTTTTTCTCAAATTATTTTTATTAAAATTTATTTTTATTAAATTTGCACGTAAATTTAAAAATTTGCAAAAAAAAGCAAAATTTTTATTAAAATTTATTTTTAATATTTTTATTTTTTATTTTTATTAAATTTTAGAGCGAAAAAAATTACCTGAGAAATAAAAGTTTGACTTAATCCCGACAACCTATTATTGCATTCATTTATCGACGACGAATGCGAACGTGTTTCATTTTGCTCGTACCACCACGTTTTCTTTCCTCGTTCTTTTTCTAAAGGCGATAATGGATGCTGAAAAAGAAAAAAGAAAAATAAAATTTTTGCCATAAAATTTTGAAAATCTATAAAAAAAGAATAAAAAAGGAATTTTTAGAATTCTAAACTTGCATCACTACTTGTTTTTCACTTGACTTTTTTTTTCTAAAAAATCATTTTAGAATCATTTCTGATTGGTCTCGCAGTTCCATTTGATTGGGTGTAAGATCAATTTTTGCTAAGAAATTAAATTGGTGATAGAAATCGCTGCATTGGACGAATACGAAAGGTTTATTCATGCCAACGCACCAATCAACGCTCCAAAATGAGATTCACTAAGCTACTATTTTCTATTCCACATAAAATATTTATTATAAAACTGAATAAATAAATGTACTTACTTTAATAATATTTATAAATAACTTTAAATGAACGTTAAAAGCACCAAAAATCGTCAAATAATTTTTAGGAAAATATTTTGAAAAAAACGAACTTTTTTTTGGCAATTTTCGATTTTATTCTATTAATAGTGTTACGAAAATATTCTTAGAAATATTTTTCGAATCATTAGTTTTGTTGAATAACAATGATTGATTTAGGTCATTAATGGATGAATTTTTTTTCTAAGAGCATTCACCATTTCTCATTATTAGTTTCACATCACTAAATTGTCAGATTAAACAAATTTTGCTAGGGAAAGAAATTTAGCTATCGCTCGCATATTTTACTGATTAGACTCGCTCTACTGGCTTGTCGCATTGGGCAATACGCCAGGGAGCCCCTTGGCGATAGAAATACAGGTGAATCGCAGCATCACTCGGATTTTTGTACAGGTTTACTCCTGCGGGGAATCGAACCCCAGCATCAGCGCTCCCAATTCAACAACAACCCACTGAGCCATTCTATCCCCAGAAGATAAATATATAGGAAGAGGAACTACAGTATAGGCACTCCGGAATAATCCTCATTGATCTATTTTTCCCCATGGATGGATATTTGCCATTCAAGCCTTTACCATTTCTCTATTTAATGATTATGCAAAAAATTATGCAAAAATATTCATACATTATTTTCATGTCGATTAGGTGAACATTCAAAACAAAAACAGACGACATTATGAGAATAGAACTGCTCCGATATACGTTCCTCTTTTCGTAAAGGAATATACCAAGTATCTTTATTTGTTACTTGCAAAGGTAACGTTTTACCATTATTATTGTTCTCGATGGGAAGTTTAGTTTTATGCCTTAAAGAATGCACCAAGGACTTCCCGAAGACTGACGAAGCTGAATCAAATTCACTGTTTCTCTCATTCATACTTGAAGAAATAGTTTGATTGAACGAGTGAAAATCTGACGAAACTTTTTTACGACGATTTTGTTTGATGATATTTTCAAATTTGCGCGAAAACGATTTCTTGAAAAAATTTTTAGCAAAATTTTCATCGCCATTAAATTTATCATCAAATGATTTGATTTTTTGATTGAGAATCTCATTACGTGTATTTTGTTTTTCGTTGAATTTAATAACACTAAAATTCATTGGACGCGATGAACGTGCTCTCACTCGCCTCGAATCACGTAAATTTATAGTTCCACGTTTAAATGATAATGTATTTCCATTTTTATCAATATATCCTCGTGAATGCTTCGAGCAACTAATTGATTTCATAGGTAGATCCATGCGTTTTTTCGCAACGCAAAATTTGTTATCGATAAGAGATAAATCGTTCTTTGCGTTAGTTTCTATTTTAAAATTTTCTATTTCATGTGATAAATTGGTTTTATTATCTAAATTAAGAATAATGTCCATTAATTTTGATAAATTGAATCAATTAAAAACAACCAAATTTTGAAAAATTCATCAAAAATTCTTGAAAATTGAAAAATTGAAAATAGACTTCTTGAAATTTCAACTGATTCGATTGCAATTTTTTTTTTTGAAATGAACAAATCGTGAAATCGTGAAAATTCGCACTTTTCTCTCGTAAAAATAATCCTTTCTGCCAACAAATTATTTAAGCCAATTTAATAACATCGAATCAAGCTTAACTTTTTAGTGACTTACTGCACGATAAATTTTTACGATAAATGAACTATTCTACTGAAAAAACTTCTTTTTCTCGCATAAATTTGCACAAATAAAACAATTTTTCGCGAAGTTCCACAAAATATAATAAACGATCCTTCAGCGTTCATTAAAAAAATAAAACTATTAATTGATCGAAAAAAATAATAAGCCAAATTTAGAACGTTAATATCCGTATTCAAATACGTATTTCTTATCACTTATCTGAAGCATCAAGAAAAATAAATATTTAATGAGCGAATAAAACTAAAATGATTATCGCCACAAATGTTCGAATGAAAATGATGAATTTCCCGAAATTATAACATTTTTATACGCATAAACGAATAAAAAAATAAGTGCTTAAAATTTGTAAATTGTGAGAGAATTTCATATTTCATTTGAGAATTGTAAGAGAATTCTAAATTCCATAAATTTAGAATTTTTTTTTTTTTTTTGAAGAATTCTCAACATTTTTCGATTAGATTCATCCACTCGTTTCACTCGCTTTGTTAGATGAGAGTAATTTTGCTAGAGAATGTGTATTTAACGATAAAAGCGTAGGTTAAATCGCTAGGATAACCCCATCACGAAAGGAACTTCAACAATGTGCGCTTCGAATTTACGAATAAAAATTAATTTAAGAGAAAATACAATTATAAATAATTCATAAATAAAAATGAAAAAACTCATATAATTGCATTTATAGCTAATAGTTATAAATAAATAATTATAAATAATTATAATAAATAATAAATAATAATTATAAATAATTATAAATAAAGATAACATTAACTGTAGATAATATTTTTCAATAATAATATATATACATATTTTTTATAGAGTTCTCACTATTACTGGTTAAACTCACTCCATTGGCTTGTCAATATGCCAGGAAGTCTCTTGGCGATAGAAGTACAGCTGAGTCGCCAGCATTACCCGGATTTTTGGACAGGTTTACCTGCGAGGAATTGGACCTCAGCATCGGCACTCAAAATTTAGCAGCAATCCACTGAACCATTCTATCCCTCAATTAATGTTGATAATATTTAATAATTATGAATAAAGACAAGAATAAATAATATTTTTCAATATTTTTATTGATGAAATGATTATAGAAAAATGAAAACTTTATGAATAGAACGAAGAAATTCGAAAAGAAAGACAATGTAATTCCTAGGTGTAATAAAAAATTTTACATATAAAAAATGGGTACAATGAACGCGAACGATGGCGGGAATCGCATCACCTTTTCGAATTCCATTTATCGAATTCAAATTTCCGATAATTTCATTTGAATTAAATTATTAATTATAATTTTTATAATTACAATAATTCGTAATTACAATTTTTTAGTAATTTTATAAGTGAATAATTTTAATTTTAATTTACCTTTTTAATTTTTCAGCAATGATTTTATTCTTTTTAAAGCAATCATAAGCCTGGCTTGGCTCGCTCAGCTAGGCTGAGGCTCATTTAAGTGAGACTTTCGCTAAAGAGCGCCTTGGAATTAATATCACCTCTTTCTTGAGCTCATTTTTAGTAAAATTTAAGAGACAAAAATAGGCATCGAATTCCGGATGCTTTTCTTTAACCGAAGCGCAAATCTCATCAAAACTTGACTATAAAATAATTTAATGATTCGATTTTTCAAATATTATCTAAATTTTAAATCGAGGGAAATCTGAATGAATTAAAATTCCTGAAAAACATCAAAAAAAAACCTTGAAATTAATTCCTTGACTTCGATCATTATTAATAACTTTTTCACTGTCGTTTATTTCATAATTATTGCTATCATAGGTTTGTTTCGCTTGATTTTCTTCATATTTTTTATGGACTAGAAAAATTTAAAATGCTTTAAAGAATGAATAAATTTTAAAATTCATTTAAAAATTTTTCATTAATAATATCAATGAATAAAATTAATAATATTAATTAAATTAATAAAATATTGAGAGAATTAATTTAAGAATGCTTTTTAAAGATTTCTTAAAGGCAATTTGCAATAAATTATATCCTTCAAAATTATAGCTTAAAGTTGAAGAATTTCTATTAAAAAAAAAAGAAATGAAATATTAACATAAATTGTTAATGATTTTCTACAAAATATAGTTTTATTTATTTATTTATTTTATTTATTTAATATTAAAATATTAAAAAATATTAATATTAAAAAAATTGTGACGAGCATTCAATCGCTTTAAAAAAAACGACCATATCATTTCTTTTTCGTATGCTTAACAAAATTTTTTTAATCAATTTTTCAAAAAAGAAAAATGGTTTTGCAAATTGATGATATATAGAAAAAAAAAAATTTGGCTGAGAAACTGATGAAAATGTTAATGGTGAAAAATTATCTAAAATTTCACCACCAATATAATTCTGAAATTCTGATTGTTCAATTTTTTTTGGTACTTCACCAATTTCGCTATCGCTTTGAATTGAATACGATTGTGAATGTTTAAAAAGATCTCTAAAAATATTTTATCTAAAATAATTACGAAAATTTGATCCTTATTTTTTATTTCGAGAATATTTTATGATAATAGAAAAAATTCTTTAAGAAATGTCAAAATCAAACCCAAAAGTTCAATTTTTTTCTAAAAATTTATACCCCACAACATATTTCTGATTACTTGAGATTATCACAATTATTATTTCTTCTTCTCCTCAACAGTCCATGCCACTTTTGATTTTTACAATATTTCATAAATTAGCCCTTATTGACAATTGAGATGACAGCACTTCGTCATAGTGTTGCTTAGGGACAAGCGTTAATCCTGGCACCCAACCGGATTTCCATTTTAATAATTTATTTTATAATAAATTTATCCTACCAAGAAAATCGAACTTATATTATTTATTAAATTTTTAAACGATAAAAAACGAATATAATAAGTTTTATCGCAATGAAAAAAAACGTGAGATAGGCTAATAAAACTTACTTCATGGAAAATCTAGTTGAAGAATTGTTGACTTTCATGGATAAAGGTGGATCATCAGCTGAAAATCATAATAATATTAGTTTTTCACTAAACTTTTCCATTCTTACATATCTTATATTCTATCTGCTTCAATTAAAAAAGTTTTTTCGATAAAATACATATAGAAAATCAAAATGGTAATAGCATTTTGAAGCCTAAGCCTATTAAAGTTTTCAATAAGATAAGCGAAAAACTTCAAAAAAAACCGAAAATTATATTATGAACTCACCACTGGATGAACCAGAAGCGTCATTCATTTGAGGTTCACGAATTTTCGTAAAAGCTCGCAAATTTTGTGCAAAAACCTACAAAAAAAAGTCGTTATCTTCCATAAATAAAAATTTATGGGAAATTAAATTAACAAAACAAAAAAATGATAAAAAACAAATTCAAAAAATTAAAAAAAACATTAATACTCAAAAGCCTTCATTTTCTATTTGATATTTTACTAGTTTTTATTGTAGTAATTTTTATAGTAAAAATAATTTAATTTATTCATTTTTAATCAATCATTCAATTAATAGAATGGGAATCAAATTATTACACCTGGAAAGGTATATAAACAGTAATAAATAAATTGAAAAAATTGAATGCAAGATTTAGTAGCTAAAAGGTTTATTTATTTAAGGTTTATATGAGCTATGGTACTGTCCAAGGTCACTATTGCAGTTGGTAGCAATTTTCAGATTTTAACGCTCAGGTGATTAATTCTATTATTTTTTTTTTAAATCAGCGATTTCACACCACAAAACTAAAAAACCGAAAATATAAGTGATGAAAAACTTCTACGCCAAACCTAGTGAACATTGTGCGTTTTAACTAATTTTAAGTATATTTACGAAAAAAAATCATTAATATCTTTAAAAATATATCAGAATTTAATAAAAATTTAAAATTATTGCCATTACCATTATTGGTGGTTTCATACGGCGCATATGGCGAAGCACGGTGACAGCCGAATGAGGAAATTTATCGCATGCATTAAATGGTGATGAAAAATTTACGTTGACCACACTAAATTCAAAGAGTGAGAGAGAATTTATGGATAATTATGCCTATTATTTGCCTACAAAACTGACATATATAATTTATTTATGAAAAAAAGGCCAAAAAAAAAACGATTAAACCTTATCTTTACAGTCTCCAATAGCCAATAGAAATATTTTCATTTTTAAAATTTTTTGCAAAAAAATTTTATTTTAATATTTTATTATTTGAAACGTACGAGCATTTAAGGCCATGTCGTTTCGTATATTTCTCGTGAAAACAATGAAATAATAATTGCTCGTCAATAGCAAATAGCGAACATGAAATTTCATCCGAATCTGAAAATTTTTTCTTATTTCAACAACTAAATGCATTCATTAATTCTTCGAAATAAAGCAATTTGAAATTTGTAAATTTTGCAAAATGAGCTTAATTATTATTTTTTATTATATTTATTATTATTTAATGAGAAAATAATGAGAAAAAAATTCTAAAAAAGATGAATTAGTTTAACTAATAAAATATTCGCACAATTAGTTTTCAGAAAAATTCCTAAATATTGCTGATTTTCAGGAGAAACAACAGCGTATTGAATATCGCTTGCGGCAAACTGAAGAATGATTGATTTCTTGGAATTGGTTACAAGAATCTTAAAAAAAATATAATATACAATAAAAATATATAATATATAATAAAAGAAATAAATTTGAAATAAATACATTAATTCATTTTTCAATTCATTATTGATAATCAGTGCAAATCAATATAAAAGGAAATATTTTACTCACAAGCTATATATAGCAAAAATAAGGTTTTAGCTATTTTATCAATTCCTTGATAAGACCTATCATTCAAATACTAGCACTTGCCCCTTGTGGATTCCATTTGAGCAACCTATTTTTTCTATCTCAATTTCAGCGCTAATGGATTACCTAATTTCTTCAATAAAACAGTCAACAAAACTAGCAAAAATCGAAAAGTTTAAGTGCATACAGAAAAAAAATGAAAACGAAAGCGATATCAAAGTGTTAAAATAAACTGACGATATCAAAATATATTTGAAGAAGAACTGTTTGAACGGTGAACGGTTCATTTTTTTTAAGTTTTTCAATAGCTTCGTTAATTAACAGTGAAGGATGATTATTGCATTTTAACGATATTCTTCCAATGAACGTTAAAAAACACTGATAAAATAAATGCTTTTGAATCATTTGTTGATCTATTAATTTTGTTGATTTTTCATTATTACTGCAATTTAATAGAAATATAAAAATGAAAATTATTAAATTAAAAAAACAGCAAAACATATTGGAGCAATAAATATTAAAAATTAAAAATTATAAATTAAATGAGTAAAAATCATCGAAAATAAAATAATATAAAATTTGAAAAAATACTCGTAGGAAAACGATATTGAAAATTATTAATTTTAATTACCTGAGATTCTCAAAAAAATGAGAAGAAGATGAAACTTTCGAAGATAGCCATCTATTTTTGTTTGGAACGCATTCTTGTTCGTGTTCTGAATTTTTAAAATTTTTTTATGAGAAAAAAAAATTATTTTCACACCACCTGTAGTTGATAATAATAATATTCAACTCCAGTTCACTGGCATGGAAATTGAGGGTTTTGCGCAGTAATATAGCTTCTTTAGTAGTGCGATGTTTAGAATAGAGATCTCTGATGTTGTTCCTGGAATCTGCTGAAGCAAGTTTTCTAGTTTAGGTGTCACATTTGCTCCAATTATCATTCGGATTACTTTGGTCTTCATTTTCCGCGTCTTCTCTAATTCCTCTTTCAGTTCTTGGTATTTCTCTAACATTTCATAATCCTTCTTCTTAACGTTATATATTGATATATATATATATATTTTAATTATAAGCGATATTTGTTATTTATTGTATAATATGATATATTGTTGATTAAATACGCTCCACTGGTTTTTTAGACCAGAAAAATTTTGGATTTGAGACCAGGGAGTGGTGATTTCTCGATAAAAACATAGAACACACGATTAATTGCAAATTCTGGCTCATAGCGGATTTTTAAAAATAAGTTCTTTCCTCTACCGAGAATAGAACTCCAATATCGACTGAGCAATTAGTTATGCTTTTCGATATACTTATGCTTTACAATTTGCAATACCATTTTAAAAAACTTACTCGACGAATTTGAAGAACAAAAACCATTTAACTGAACTGAATCGTTCATTTTCATCGGAGTAGAAATCAACAATTTATTTTTCTGAAACGAATACATTTTTACATTATTGTTAATTTTCAATTTTCAATGAACTAAACGAAGTATTTATTATTAAAATTTTCTCTGTGGATGGATTTCTGGATTCTATGGATGGAATTCTCTCGGAATAAGAAAAGCCTTTATTCGATGAAAAAAAAAAATTGCGTCACCAGTCGCAATGATTTGCTTTTGAAGCGTTTAGTGTGTATATTTTTCAGAAACAATTGTCGTCCAGCAAAATTTCATTATAAATTGATTCGACATTGTTTATTTCAAAACTTATTGTAATTTATTGGAAAATCTCAATCTCATTGAATAGCTCATTTTGATACATATTTCGTTATTTACTAAACCTTATGATGGATGGTCAAAAGCGCGAAAGGTGAAAACCAACAGGCAGAATGACATATTCAAGAAAGATTTTAAATACATAGATAAACCAGCAAAATATGGACTTAGACGATAGAAAAAGGAATAGCTTTTTATTAGTGTCATCGACGGCATCAGATCAAACAGCTTGGAAATATCTTACCCAGCCAGCGAAGGCAGCTTAATAATTAGAAATGGTGAGGGTTGTTAAAAAAAAAAACCGGTTTTTAATATCATCTCGAAAACCTCGTTAGACTTCCACTGAAAACAGTTATACCCCGTTAAGATCCAACCAAACTGCCTTATATACCTTTAAAATCCTATCAAAATCCTATTTCACTCTTGCATCTTTTATTACAACATTTTAACAACGTCGCCATAAACTGAATTATCTTAATATTTCTTGAAATTCCGTCATGGCAATTAATCGTCCCGCAAGCTAAATTCTTTTCTTTAGTGCAAAATATCATTGTTTTATTTTAGCCAATAGCCTATTTAAACCAACTTATATCTCTATTTTAAATCCTTAAAAAAGTATAGCTTCACCGCATTTTTTTACCATAATCAACAGCGATACCTCGTTTTAGTTCTTTAATCTTGCTAATACCTATCCCATACTTTTTTGCACTTTTGTTATCACAATTTTTTATTTAGACCATCTAAACTTTGACTAGTGTTTACTTTAAAGGCCTCACAATAATCTTTTAACGCAAAAACCCCCCATTGTACCCCGCTATTACTTGGAAATCCATCATATTCCTCTCTCCTTTATATTCTTCCTACAGTTCCAATATTTTTTCAAGTCTCTGTGTCGAGTTATTCTCAAAAAAAAAAGTGCGAACGCTTTACAAAAATCCTCTAATTATTCATTTCAAATTATATTTTTGCCAATTCTTTCAATGTGATTTTATCGGTAAAAAATAGGCAAAAAAAATGGGTAAAAAATAGGATTTTGGATGGCTTCGGCCCTTAAGAGATACCTACCTTTCTACTGTTTTTTCAACTAAACAATTGAATTTTAATTTTAATCGTTTTTATATTCAATTTATTTAACTTAAAATATAATCTAAGTGGTTCGGGTTTACATTTCATTCATTTAATTCCTTTGAAAATTGAGAATGAATAGTGCAATTGGCAAAATATGATCGTTTAACAATTTTTTAAAATAATAAAAATTTTAAAAAATTTATTTTATTTTTGTTTATCAATTTAAATTCAAAAATGGTGAAATATAATATGTGAATATTATATAAATAAATGGAAAATAATTTCAATAATTTTTTAATAATTTTTATAATTAATAATTTTTACTTGAGTAATCTTAAATTAATTAGAAAATTTGAATACAAATAACGAAAAATCTTACAATAATTATGTGTGAAAAAATGAAAAAAAAAGCGATGAAAAATATTAAATATTGAACCATAATATATGCTTTATATATAATTTAAAAAGTTTCTCTTCTAATTATAATAAATAATAAATAAATGGTACTATAATGTGTAAATGAGAAAGAATAGCGCGGGAACGCTTAATTTTTAATAATTTGGTCGATTGCAATAATTTTCGGCTACTATTTTATGGCCAGAGTACCATAGTGTTTTTCTTATATGTATAAATATTTGCAAATTTTTGTGCTATGAAAATGAATCGAAAACCAGGTGGAGAAAGGGAGAGGTTTCTTTGATCTGACTTAATAACTGTCTTCATGAAATTTGCATGCATTAAGAATGAAAAAAAAAATCAAATACAATATAATGCAATTCTAACCCTAAACGTTATTGCCAGTGTATCGGCTTTTGAGCCTAAATTTGTTAATATTTCAATAACATCGATATGTGATAAATTTTCCACATTTTTGCCATTAATAGCGATAAGAATAGCATTGTCCTTAATATTGATAATTTTGTTAAGAATTATCACTCTATGGACAGGCAAAATAATAGTTTTTTCCCGTTAAATGCCTATTTGCTACTTTAATCTGCTCAACTTCCTAGAATGCGTGTCGCCTAAGGTTATCATTCTAAATAAAAAGGTTCAAATTATCTTTAATTTGAATAAACCCATAGAACTTGTCTGGTCCAAAAAAACTTATCTGTCTTTCAATCTTTCTCTATCTGACCATATTGCCTCACTCTATTAGCTACGAATCTAGCTAGGAAAAGGGAGTACCAACCAGTTATAATAAAATATCCACGCTAAAATAAAGGTACCTTTCCGCAATAATTGCGTATGCACGAATAGCTATTTATACCGTCTATTATCTAAATGAAAAAAAAATGAAAATGAGAAGAAATCACCTGAATTCCAACTTTATTTGCTGTACTATTCTTAACGATTTTCAATAAGCATGGTCGTTCTCCAATAATTGATATGCCGAGTTGTTCGCTATCAACTGGCATTCTTAAAAAACAAGTACGATTACAGTACATATTCTCATAAGGTGTAAAATACTTCTGAAATTAAAGAATTTTTTTTATTCAATTATAAAACCATAGAAAAAATTTTTTTCGAAAATTTTGCCAGGAAATCTCAGTCTCAGCGATAGAAACGATAGAAATACAGATAAGTCACCAGCATCAAATGGGTTTTTGAAAGGCCAACTCTCTTGCGAGAATTAGAATATTCCAGCAATTGGAAATTCGAAGTGAGAAATGAGCCAATGAGCCATTGCAAGTAATAATATCGATGTAGAATGTTAGTAATATTAGTAATAATGTGGTGTCAAAAAATTGCGAAATTTAGAGGAAAGATTTAGAAGATTTATAATCATAAATAAGAAATGAGTCGAGAAAAATTTTCACATTATAATCTAAATTAATTTCTACTAACTATCTAAATTCCTTAAATTTTATTTTATTTAAAGGAATCCAACAAGGATGCTAGCAATAAATAGACCTGTATTTCTCGCTATTCACCTATATTCACCAAATAAGTTTTGTGGTGGCAAAGAAAATTTGTCTCAAGCGATAAGCCAAGGCGGTGAATTTAACCACAAAATAATGAATTCTTTAGAAGGCAAATAAAATACCATATGCATTAGCCAAGTAATGAAAAAAGTAATAAAAATTTCATCGAGAGAAATCTTCAGAAAAGACAAATATAAATAATTCACTAAAATTTTAAATCGTTTAGGCTTTGGCGTAACATATTTATTGACCTTTCTAATCCAATCTTATTACCTATATGAATAATAAAATCGATGAAGTGGTCATATCTCATCGGTTATCGTCACTGTATTTAGTTATATTATCTATTTTGACCCCTATTATTTCACCTTCCATACTTTGAAAATACTTTTTACATTCTCTACAATAGGGATTAATTAGACGACAACAGACGACAGTTGATATTATCTAAAAGGAAAGAATTTTTTCTTATAATAATTAGATGTTTCTAAACGAATTTACCCTAAAATAAATAACCAAAGATTTGCGTATTTATCAGTTATCATTTTTTATACATCAGTTTTTAAAAAAATTTTTACAAATAAAAGTAAGTTGTCTTTACAAATATTCGTTATCATAGAGGATAGAATGGCTCATTGGGTTGTTGCTCAATTGGGAGCGCCGATGTTGAGTTTCGATTCCCCGCAGGAGTAAAGTTGTACAAAAATCCACGTGATGTTGAAACCTGTGTTTCTATCGCTAATGGATTCCCTGGCATATTGCCTTAAATATTACAAGCCAGTGAAGCGAATTTAACCAGTAATGGTAAGAATACTTTAAAAAAAAAATCATAGGCCCTATATAAAATTTTTCATTTTTTTTTCACCACATAATGATATCTACAACGATGATATTTTATAAAATGAATGAATATCAACTAACCTGGCAAATCAGTTTTAATCAAATTTAATTTAATTAAATTAATTTAATTTTGACTTTATTTAATTTAAAATATCAAGTCTATTTTAAAAGATAACGAAACCATTTAGAAAATAACCAGAAAACCAGACAACTATTTTTATACAATAATTTTAACTAAAAACGAAATTTCAAATATTAAGAATAGTATTGCGATATTTATGCATACCTATTCTCAAATGAATCTCTGGTAAAAGCGGGTAACAACAAAGTTATATTTACATATAATTAGAAAAACTAATAAGAACTATAAAATCAGGAAAGATTTTGAACGTATAAGTGGACCAGTGGATGCATAGACTTAGATGGTGGAAGAATGAATGGCCTTCTATTACTGATGGCATCGGATCGAACAATTTTGGAGATTTCTTGGTTTTATAGCGAGCGGAGCCAACCTAACCGATAATGGTGAAATTTATTAGAAAAAGAATTAGAAGATATGAAGAAAATCGTCAAAACTGACTTGCATATAAGTTGAATTTTTTAATTTTTATATTATAGAAAATTAGATGAAATTTTTTCAAGATTTATTTTGGAATCTTTCTAATTTCAATTTATGGAACTATTGTTTGACAAAAAAACGTCGAAAAATGTGAAATGTATAAAATGAAAAAATAATTTTGTAAAATAAAAAATCGAGATTAACCAACCAATCGTTGTTTATAATTATTTTTAATGTGCATAATATACAAATATTACGAAAAAGGTCATTAATGATGAACAAACAAATATTATTATAGTTTATTAAGAATTACTGGATATAGAGGAAAATCTTTAAAGAAATCTTCGAAATTTTTTTAACGATATTTTTCAATTTTAATATTTCTTCTAAACTCATTGAATCAGTAATAAATTTAAAAATTTGGCTTTAAAACTTAACAAGAATATGGTAGAATTTTTTAAAATTCAAAAAATTTGTACGTCATTAAATTATATTTTTATGATAAAGGATTTGCTAAAGGAGCAGATTATCAGTAGCCGTGTAGAAGCCGATTCACCTTCTATCACAAGGATTCCTGGCAAGAATTCGTAGTATTTAGCTAAGGTAGTAGTCTAACCAGAAATTGCGAGCGTTGACGAAACCATCTTACATTCTGGTGAAGCCAGTTCGACATTCCGAAAGGCTTCAATGAACAACATACAACATACAACCTTTTATGACATTCGCTCTTATACAGTTTCATGATGTTTTTCATAGCGTTTTCGTTCATTCGTAATAACCTTTTTGATTTCATAAAATTTGGCTTGTTTTTGTTTTATACTCAAAAATCAGCAGTGAATTAATTCGATACAAATTTTTCCTTTTATTGCCCTTCTTTTTTTTGCTCTTTTCTCTGTCTAAATTTGCTTCAAACGAGTAACAATAAAGAAAGTTATATTTTTTATTTTTTATAATTTGCAATAATTTACTCAATTTTTTTTCCATATTTCATTTAATCGTTTTGTTGCAATTTTCTTTTCAATAATTATTTTAATGATTTAAAACTTAAAATTCTCGTAAGTGTTTGAATTTTTCGAAAAAATGCACGTTTTTTTTGTAAACTTTCCTTTCATCTATTCGCATTTATCATTTTTTCATTTTAATTTTTCTTTTGATAGCAGCAAATTTAACAATATTAAAAAAAAATTTAGTCGAGAAAATCGAGAAAGTTTTATAGGTTTATTTAAAGTTTATTTATTTAAAGGAAATCATCCATAGATTTTCTCCAACTCACTTATCTACCAGTAAGTATCTCTGCCATGTTTTATTCATTTATAAACCGACTGATTTATTTTATAAAATAATTACATAACCTTTGACAAATTGCAAAAGATGGAATTTTGCAATTTAAGTAAACAAAAAACAACAAAATAATATTATTATTATTATATTTATTATATTTATTATTATATTTATCACACTTATTATTATTAATAATAAGTGTGATAAATATAAATTTATTACGGATATTTCCATTTTGCAGTGACAATAATAGCTGATAACTGATGAAAACAATAGTAGCGATTTTTAAAAATTTTTATTATATTTATACAAATTTCCTTAAATCTTGCAATAAATCAATGAATCGAGAAAGTGGTTTTATCACAAATCACTTTTAATTTATGCAACAGTTTTACAAAAATTTAAAATTTTTAAAATAATTTTAGTCAATCAATTTTTTGAACAATAAAATTTTTTTATCATTTTTATATACACTTTGTACGAATTAATCAATTTAATATGCAATTTAAATTATATTTAAAAAAATTTGAGTTTAGAATTAATGAATTTAATAAATAATTTGGAAAATTATTAAAAAAAAACAAATAATTCAATTATATAGAAATTTTTAGCCAATTTTTATCCTAAAACCAAAATTTGATTAAAATTCATTTCAAAAAATAAATTTCTTCGTTAAATTAAAGAGATTCTAAAATAATATGCCTAATAAAAAAAAAAAAAACAAAAACAGACACCTATTTATTGGCGAATTAAAAAATATTTAGAAAATTTTTAAACAATACTCGTAGCAAAATCAACGGTGTCAGTGGAATTATCGCCATCACCGGTTCGCATATTTTCCGTTGCTGTTTCATTACTATTTAAACTATAATTAGCCGAATCTTGCCGTGATCCTTGTATAACCCGAATTTGATGTCGAACCGAAGTATTTCCCGTAGAAATAAAATTTCTTAACGGTTTCTGATCTTTAGCTCGAAGAGTTAGTTCTTGTTCATCAACTGTAATTGTATTGCAATTCTGATGATTAATAATCGAATTATTACTCACATTACCATATAAATCACTATTATCAGAGAAATTATAGTGATTAGCACCACCGGACTGACGTACGAAACCAGATGTGTTTTGAGGTGTATTCGGTGAATTAGGAACGGGAGTATGATGCGAAGAGTAATTACTTGCATTACTCGCACTTCCTTGACTTGTAAGTGTGGATGTTGGTGAAAAACATGGCTCATGTTGGCCACTATCTGTTGAACCAGTCGATGCCTGAAAATTTATATTTTTACTACATATTAAACATACACATATGATGAAATAAGCACAGCAACGTGCAACAATTTAACGACGAAATATACGAAATTCAAAAAAATTATCTTCTTTTCTCTAAAACAAGAATTCTTAACCGGGAAACCATGGACCGCAAGAGAAATACGACTAATAATAAATTTATTATTTTATTAATTTTATATATTTTACTAATTTACTATAATTTACTATAACTTTTAACTAATTTTTAACTGAAATTTACCATTTCCTTCAATAATGATTGTAGGAAATAAATAAATATAACATATTAAGTAATATCAATTTACTTATAATAATCGCATCAAAATTTTATTTTAATTTTATTTTATATATACATTTAGCCGAAGAAGTCTATGAACTTCGTGAACTTCACGAAGCTGCATACAAATCCATGGCATAAGAAAAGTTAGGAAAATCTTTCCGAAGTATTTTTTTATGAATTTTTTAATTTAATTTTTTTAATGTCCAAATATTACCCATCAATAACCAAAGCCAAAAGTAATGAAAGCTTTGAATTCTATGAACTATGAATAAAGGAATAGAAAAGCGTTGAAGAAGGACTGGGAAAATGAATAAAAGCGAATTTTAAGCATATCTGAAGGAACATGCAAAATTAAATTAGTAAATTTTGTCCTTTTTTTAAATATTAAATATGAATTCAAAAATCAGTTAAAATCAAATAAATTAATTCTATATTAATTCTATGTTATTTAATTAAAATAAAACAACTTTGTTAAATAAACCATTAAAAAAAAAATTTTCTTTTTATAAATGAACTAACGATTAGAGAAAAAATTTGATGATATCAAATATAGAATGCCTAAAAAGGCATTCCAATATTATTTATTTCCATTTATAATATTAGAAATAAATATATATACTCTACGATAATCGCTTGTAACCTCTAAGCTTTATTAAAAAATTTAGAAAATAGAATAAAAAATTTTAGAATTAGGAATAAATATATAATTTGAGGTGAAAATTTTAAAAAGAAAAAAAGCTATTGTAAGAAAGAAAATTTTTAGGACCTTATTATACGCTGGATTAATTAACCACTGAACAGATGATTGCTGATTGCTAGGTTGAGGGAATCGTTGCGACCAACCAATTGATGTACATGGTGCATTTAATGCTTGTTTCAGTTGTTTCTGTGAATCGTTCGAATCATTAGCATGACTCGTAAATGATGATAATTTTAAATTTGTAGAGCGTTGATAAGGCGATGATTCTCTAAATAAATAAATAATAAAATCCAAATGATTAAATAAATATTAATTTTTTGAAAAAAAAGAAAAAAAATTCAAGTTGAAACCTGCAAGAGATCGACGTGCGTAATCGAGTCTCGCCAACTGGGCTAGCTCCAATTGATCCTATCGATGATGGAATCTCATTTTCAGAAGGATTTCGTTGAGAATTCATCTAAATAAAATAAATTTATGAAAGATGGATAGTACTGTTATCTAGGAAATTTTCATAACTAACAGCTATTAACTAACTACTGATAAATTTAAATAGACAAAATTTCGATGAAGAAATCTCGACACTACAGTGATTCTTCTGCTGATATCATATCACATATTATTATATCACGACTACAATAGACTGATTCTACATAAAGAATTAAGTATGGTTCATTACACAACCACAACCATAACGACAAGTATAAAGGATAATGCACTGGACACTGAGATTTAAGGCCACTGAGATTTTTTACTTACACTAAACGCTTCTTGTTGAGAAACGTTAAGTGTTTGACTCCTGACAGAAATTCTGACGATGGTAGCAACTCACCAATATTTTTAGTTAGATGATAAAATTTCTAATCGTGCACATAATCAGCATAGCTAACCTAACCAGAAAGTGCTTGATAATCTTCAATCCAAGCCGATGAAGCTGCTATTGGTCATGGATGGTCAAATGACAGATTAGCAATCGACAAATACAGTTACAGAAAATTTAATATAAATTTATATTTATATGCATATAAATATTACCATTTGTTGCAATCCAAAAACATTTCCAACATTTTTTAATGGCTGATCTGAATTTTGTTTGTTGTTCACTTCTTGACTGTGAAGAGCGCGAGTCTAAATAAATAAAATATCTTAAAATTTCAATCACTTTTTTTAAGAGAGAAAATAGTTCCTCTGACAGTTGCTCGTCTTTTAATTGCAAGCATAACAGCTAATCTAGTTAATCCAAGCCAACGAAAAATTTAACATGATAACAGATGGTCATACAAACAAATAAGAGGCAATTGGTCAATGAGAGGCAACAGCAAATTTTACATAAAACTCATATTATAATTGTGACCAAATAAATTAAGATACTTGTTGTGGTAATTTGACATATGTTGAATAATTATTGTCGTAAGGCGATCGATTATTGGAATATGTTGAATTACTGATCGGCTCTTCTTTAGAGGTTGGAATTTTTCGTTGAGCCATAGTGTCGGTCTGTGGAATCATAGTACGGAGACTACCCTTATGAATTGATGCATATGCATCTGAGTGCTTAAGAAAAATAATTAACTGATAACTTATTAGTATTTCGCAAAGCATTAACTAAAAATTCAATTTTTTTATCAGTATGAAAACAAGTACCATAGCTTGACGTCCATGTTCAAAAGTTGAATTAATCGATCCTTGAGCGGAAGATTTACGCTTAAGTTGTACGTTAGATTGTCGATTAAGACTAGACATATATTCAGTTCTCGGATTGCGCTAAATATATCAAAAATTAAGTTTTTCTCTTTTTTTTGCCTTGTCTTTGATAATTTTTCATTGATAATAATTTACCTGAAGTGTGCCAAAAGTATTGCTAATATTTTTATCATCTATATGACCTGAATCGTAATTATATTTGGATATATCTAAGTATGTGTGATGATTTGACGCTGCTTGCATACCGGACGACACTACTGATCGAGTGATCTATAAAAAAAAAAAAACATTTCGAAGTAAAAATATGTCGATTTAGCTTAAAAATATAAACCTTATATTATAAAATATTTTACCGATTGGTAAGCAGCCGTTGGTGAAGAATTTGTATCACTGCAACGACGATGCATAGCTGAATTGCCAAGTAAACGATTCATTTCAGGTGTTCCTTTCATATTTTCATTGAAAGGAATTTTTCTTTAAAAAAATTTTATTTTATTATTTTCAAAATAAATAAAATTTTAAATCTAATATTATAAAATATAACGAAATTCTTTTGCATAAAAATTATTATGATGAAAAATAAAAAATAAAAGAAAAACCTAGTTGAAGGCGATTGTGCACCATTTGATCGTAACCAATATATTTCGTCACTGGTGGTTCCTCTTTGCGCATATCGTAAAATATTTTGTTTAACAGTTGGATCATCAGTTATATACATCTAAAAATTAGAATAATATGATGCATAAATGAGGAAATACTTTCCGTACTTTATCATCACTAATAACTTCCTTATAGGTAAAATCTTTCAATAAAGATGGAATCGTGGTGATTATTGAGGAAATATTGGACACTATTGAGGAAATATACTTCTTATTATAATTCTTATTGAAAAAATTTGTTTGAATAGATAAACGAGTCGAGGGTACGAATAGAAAATGATAAGCATTCATCTCATTTTCCTTTCTTTTTTAAATTAATTTAATTAGTAATGGAACCAGCCAAATACTATAGAAACTATATGAAATGATATGAGTTGTTTTTGATTTTCGACTATACAAAATACGAAAATAAATGTCATTTAGTTCAAAAATTTTAAAGTTACATTTTTTTCAAAATAAATTCCATTGAAATAAAATTTATTATAAATAAATATTATAAATTATTATAAATAAATAAACGTAATTAAAAATTATTAAAATATATTAAATTATTAAATATATAAATATAAAAATTATTAAATATATTAAAATATTAGAAATTATAATATAAATTTATAATATAATATAATATAAACTATAAATTTTATAACTAAATTATAATATAATTAAAATTATGATATAAATTATAATATAATAATATAACTTTTAACTTTAATTGTTAAAATTATTAAAAATTATTATTACTTGTTCACCGTGCATTAGAATAAGGGCATTTTTTAAATCGGTTATATTTTTATCTGAAGCAGATGGCAATAAAATATTCGCCATTGTTTGATGGCCACTCTGCAAAAAAAAAGATCTCGATAAAGAAACCAATAAAGATTAGCGTTTAATGAAGCATAACAATAGATAAATTCGATAGCTTAAATAGTATCGGAGAAAATTCCGATCTGAACCGAAAATGATTGATTAAGAATAATGTAAAGTCAAAGAATAGCGAAAAAGTTTCTTTATATTTATATAAGAGAATTGCTTAAATAGCGATTGCTTAAGCTTTATAAATAGGTTAGAATGGCTTTATTTCAGCTATATGCCCTAGCAGTGGCTGTCTGTATTTCTTACCTTCTGACAAGCGAAAATCTATCAGAATGAAATACAAGCGATTGATGGAGATTCATAATTCTATCCCGACGCGATTCCTTGTAGAAAAAACCCCTTTAAATCAAAGCAAATAGCCAAGTAGAAGTGATGCTTGCTTGTAAAAGACTTTAAGATTCTGCTTTTTTTTTAAGAGCCCTTATTATTGCTGGTTAAACTCGCTCCGTTTGACATACTAGGTAAATATGGTAGGGAATCTCTTAGCAATAGAGGAAAAGGCGAGTCGCCAGCATCACTTGGATTTTTGAATAGATTTACTTCTGCGGGGACCTCAGCACCGCCACTCCCAATCGAGCAACAACCCACTGAGCCCATTCTACCCCTCAAGACGAAACATAGCAAAAGATTATATTTCGAATTAACATCAAATATATTTTGTTGTTTCTTTACAGAAGAAATTCTTAATATATGTTTTGTAGTTGAAAAAAAAGTGATTTTATATGAATCCAGTACTAAGGTGAAAAAATCATGAAGAAAAAAGAAGAAAGCTATTGTGATGGACATTCGCTATCCTCTATCTTCAAGTAACTCTTTGGCAAAAAGGCCGTAAATATCCTTGCAGCCAGTCAATTAAACTATCCAAAAATAATATCTGCTAATAGAAGAAGAAGAAAAACTTAGATTCTACAAGATTAAAATAAAATAAGAAAAAAAATAAACAATTTAAAAAATGAAATTCACCTGCAATGATATAATTTCATGAGCCTGATGTATCACTTTAAAATTCCATTCTCGTTTTAGCGTTAATATAAGCCAAAAAATAATCCAAAGAAAAAGATAAGCGATATCAATGATAATACATGAAAGCAACAATGGCTTTTCTTCGTGCTAAATTGATTTTAATTATATGGAATTTTCTTATTTATTAATAATAAATAATAAATAGATTTAATAAATTTATCTAAGCTATAAAAAAACTGTATAAAATTAGTATTGTTAAAGCATTGTTCTCGATATTATTGAAAAAAAATAATTTTTTCGCCGAATACCAATATTTATAAAATGGTTCAGAATTATCAATTCCACTTGGACTTTTACCTCAATGTAATTTGCGAAAGGGTTTGAGCTAAGTAATCACTCTCCCCTGGACTCCCCACTTCCCTTTCCATCTCCCCTCCTCCACCCCACCCTCGGCTCTCGAAAAACCCTCAAATAGTGCATGTTTTAAAAAGAGTTTTTAATAATTCTTTCTTTTCTTTCTTTTTTCTTTTCAAATTTTTTAAAATTAAAAAATGTTAAAATATTAAAAAATATTAAAAATTAACGAGAAGTTGAATAAAAAATAAAAATACAAGAAAAAAAGAAAATCACCTGAAATATCACCATTAATGCATAAATTGAGGGCACTTTTACAACAACAATCAATACGAGCAATAATATCGCCGTGATGTGAGGTGCATAACTAGAAAAAATTCTCCATTAATAAATAATAAATAATAAGTTAATTTTTACATATAAAATTTTTTCATAGCTTTTCCACGAAAAATATTTTTAAAAGATTTACTGGACTGATGCGATTCAAAAAGGTACTAATGGATCTGAAAGAGAGGAACTTAGATGCTTAAAAGAATGCTCGGTACTAATTCTAATGAACTGTCGATATATCAAACTTATGAATTATGAAAAAAATAAAATCATAAGATTTATTGGTTCTTTTGAAATTAACTTTTTATTATATTTGACCTTTATTTGAACCTTTCAAATCATAGTTTTCCAATTTGGCTAAAATATTTAAATTTTACATTAATTTATATTTTAAATCCTATCATTTGTTGGATGAACGTTCTCTTTTATACATATTTATGCATACATATTTTTGCATATTTATACATATTTATGCATGTTTTATACATGCAATATCAGATCTTTGATATTGATATATTGATATATTTCTGATATGTTGCTGATTTTAGCGATATAATAGTTGTGAATCAAATCTAAGAAAATTGTTTTGATTGACTGATTTACAGAAAGATTAGCAGGTGATTTTTTGTGATATTTTTTTCGATTAGCACATTAGATTTCCTCGCTTATTATTCAAAATAATAAGCTATAAATAAAACTAATTATTTTCATAAGAAAACTTCATTTCTGATATGAATTTCAGTTGATATGTATACATATATATATTATGTATTTATATATTTTATATATTATATATGTATATTTTTATATATTATATATGTATATATTTTTTATAAAATATATATTCCCATATATATTTTTATTGACAAATAAAAAAATGATTCTTTTCGCAGTAAATACACAAAAATTAGGTCACTGCAAATTTGAAGCATTCGTTGAAAATAAATTCTGCTATTTACATACGAAAAGAATCGAAAGAACAAATAGTTGAGATGAAAATGGTTTTAGAAGAAGATGAATAGAAGCAGAAAAAATTTTTATAGATAACAAAATATGAGATAGGACAATCAGGTGGATAGTGAGTCAGATTATTCCAAGGATTTAGCTTCTAACAGGAGAAAATTCGGCTGATACCGGCGACCCTCTCAATTACAAATTTCTAATCGTATTAATAGTCAGTTGAGCCAATTTAACCAGAAGTGTTGAGCATTTAGCTTTTATTTACTATGGATAACAAAATGAAATGATAGATGAAATGATACCAAGAAGAAATAAAATAAATGACATAAAATTCATACTTTATATTATATTTATTGTCTCGTATATCGGCAGTGAAAATAATTATTTGGAAGGTAATCGTGAAAAATATGAAGCGTTGAATGATGGATACCATAAGTATTATGCTAGCGATGATGAATTAAAACAGAAAACCTACTTAAAAATAATGAATTGATAAAAATGATGATAAAAATGATGAAAAAAGTTAATGATCAGTGCGGAAGTTGAGCAAAAAGATCGAAAAATTTTTTTGCATGGGCCAGCAAATTAACGATATTCAAATTGAAAATCAGCTTTATGGAAATTAAAAATGCAGGATTTTGTAGCGAATATTGGTGCTACATATCAAAATGATGAAGAAATAGAAGATGAAATCTAAATTCTTCTTCTATCCTGTTGAAGTAACGGATATGCAAAAGCATCAACATCTCACAAAATATCACTTATCATTTAGTTATTTATCCTTCAATTCACGTTTTGTGTTTAAATAACCGAAAACAGAAAAATCACAAAACATATCTTTGATTTTTATGTGCAATATAAATGCTTCGTTAAAAATTTTTTTCATGAAATAAGTTGCCAAAATAAAATTACTTTATGTATTAGGTGATAATTTGAAGAAAATTACGAAAAAATTTTAAGAAAATAAAGTATGAAATTGAATTTAACAATTTCGACTGCTTTATTCTACTGCTCTTGATTTTGATTTGCAATTTTTGATAAGCAAATTGATAAGCATTTTAACTTTAAATTCGGATTTTGAATTTTCACTATATACTTCTTCTAACAGCTCTCATCATTACTGTTAGGTTAGGCTGGCTCCATTGGCTACAGGGATAGGACATTTTCAAGTCGCGCGGTCGTCGACAGAAATAGAAACCATTCCTTTTTCCATCGTCTAAGTATATGTATTGTTAGTCCAACTATACGTTCAAAATCTTCTTCCCAGGTCATATCAGTCCAAATCTTGATTGGCCCACCTATTGACGCCACTCATCACATGTAACGGAATATGCGTCAACTCTTGTGGTAAGCGACGAAGAACATGTCCTAACCAGCAAAGGCGACGCAAGACTCACTGATGGTACTGTTAATGGAAGTGGTGTATGAACGAAGGCGGATGCGATCATGTGAGACTTTTATCCATTTGACGAACCCGTAAAACTTAGACCTTAGATAAGTACCTTAGATATTTCGTTATATATTGTTATTCTATGAAATAACCTTATAATCAAGGTAATCTGTGATAATTGTTAGAAGAATGGAAATCATAGGATTTCATTTGGAAAAATGTAAAAAAGATAATGAAAAATTTTATCTAGAGAAAATCTACCCATCGCAGCATAATTTTATAAGAGGTGCTTTCGATGAGCTTTTCTTTCGATATTCAGAATAGTCACTTTGTGGACCGTTTGAATTACTCATTTGTGAACGAACAGCATTTTTATAACGAACAGTCATTAGGCTAACCTGAAATTAAACATAGCAAAAATATCCATCAACTAATACAGATGCTTTACTATCGTCTTTTCTATATATTCAGCTATTTATTTTTAAAATAATTTTTATCTATGATTAATTATTTATTTATTCGATTTTTTATGACCATTATTAATATATTAAACAAATATTATACAAATATATTTTAACAAAAAATTTTTTAAATAATCAAATGAAACTAACAAAAAATTTATTATAGCCATATGTATAAAATGCGATTGGTGCAATATGCAGTAGAATTATTGAAATTATAAATAAAGCAATTAATGCTAATGGATGAAAAATTTTTAATGGTTTTGATGAAGATAAATATTGGCCTAAAAATCTTTTGCATACAATAAGAAATTTGAAAAAAAATGACCAATTAAATTTAAATTTGGCAAAAAAGTCAAAAAAAAATCGCAAAAATATTTTGCAAAAAATGAAAACTGATTAAATTTAAATTTCTAATTTAGAAAAAAATGGTGTAACAATAAATAAGAAAAAAAAAAAGTTTACCGAGGCCAATGGGTCGAGCATTTGCATAATTCGTTTCCTGTATTCGGTAAAGAACGCTAAATCCAAGATATGACCAAATAACGGTTACTATATGAATTAGTAAATAAAATGAGAATAATAAGCTAAATGGCTTATTAACACGCCAAAATACCGAGGGATAAGCGCATGCATAAGCAAATAATGCTATTAAAAGATTGATGAATTCAAGTGGAATACCAAATAATCGAGCGTGCATCAATACTGAAAAATCATAATATACAGTTGATAATGAAATTTTATGATAATTTTTAAAAAAATTATATAAAATTTTTTTTTATTTAAGAGTCCTCACCAATACTGGTTAGACTCATTCCGCTGGCTTATCACACTGGACAAGTATGCCAGAAAGTCCCTCGGCGATAGAAGTACAGGGGTAATTCGCCAGCATCACTACGGATTTTTGGACAGATTTACTCTACGGGGTGTAGTTCAGCATCGGCGTTCCAAATTGAGCAGCAACCCACTGGGCCATTCTATTTCCGATGAAAATTTGAAATTCTATTCAATTCGTTCGATAAACAATAAATAAAATATTGCAAAAAATGCAATTCTAAATAGATTTTATCACAATTTTGCAGTTAATCAAACATAAACATGAATGATTGTGCATAATTTAATCACGATTAATTACTTGGTAATAAATTTGGTCCAATTGGAGCACTAGAAAGATCATGCGTTGATATACGAAAGCCTTGCAGACGATTATCGATCATGGGCAAATTACTCGCTAATTGACGAGCTCGATGATATACGAAATCCAATTCTGTATTCAAAAAATCGCCTAAATTTGCTCCATTTATTAAAATCATTTTATTTTATTAACTGATAATTGATAATAAATGATTAATGATAAATAATTGGAAAGAAAAATTCTGAAAAAATTACAATTTGAATAATAGAAAATTTTGATTTATCAAAAAAAGACAATTTTAGCAGAATCAGTGATAATTTATGATAATTCAAAATTGATCATCGCTTATTTAGTGGGGATTTTAAAAATAGAACAAATGTAAACTTAATTTATTTGTAAATTTAGAATTTTAGAAAAGAATAAAATTAATAGATAATTAATTAATAAAAAATAATAGATTAAAATTAAATAAAATTAAAACTAATAATTAATAAAATTAATAAAATTAAAAGTAAAAGTAAAGTTGATTCGATAAAGATCAAAAGTCTAATTTCTGTGTGGTTACTTAAAATAATATTTCTAATAACATTCTAAAACAATTCATTTTCCCTCAAGGAAATTTGTAACTTCCTTGTTTAATTAGTATAATTTCCATGAATTGTTTCGCTCGAATTTCTCACTCGAATTTTAAAGAACAAATAATTCGAGTCTAAATTAACATTTATTCCTTTGGAATAAATTATTTCCTTGATATATTCTTTTTTTTTTCACTTCTTTCATAAATTTACAAATAACTTATAGTTTCCTCAATATCACATTGGCTAACATTGGCCAGTAGTCGTCTATTCATGAATTTTCTAATATTTCTTTATTTTTTTAATATTTAATATTATTTATTTATTAGAAACCCTTTATATCGAAATGAAGCGTATACCTACACCGTTCCGTTAACATTAATATCTGTATACGGGCGTTAAGATATAAAGGGTTTCTAATAAATAAATAATTTCGTAATATTTTTTTCCGAAAAAATAATATGAAGCAAAATGCCTTAGATTTTATATTAGAATGAAGATACAAGATATTTTTTTTTTTTTTGCTCTTTTCTTCTAGAAAAGCATCGAGAACTGATCCAGAGGAATAATTTATCAAGAAAGTGAAGATAGCAAGAAAATTGGAAAACTAAAATTTCAACCAAAATCAGATTTTTCAAATAAAAATTAAACTCGTGAATAATTCGTGAAATCCCAAATGCTTCCAAATACACTTCATTTACGATTAAATTATACGAAATAAGTAATCAACAATCAGTTTTGATTAGTTGCATTAGTTATACTATTAGTTATTTTAAATATTTTATTTTATCTAAATACTATGGATAGAATTACTTTATTAAAATTATAATATAATATAGAAAATAATGAATTAATTAGTGATATTGAAATGGAACTTGAAAAAATTAATTAATTTTTAAAATGGCTTAATGGCTTTCCGAAATACTAATGCTAAGTTTCTATTTCCAATAAGAATAAATGTGCCCTTCAGAAAACACTTGCACAATCATTTGTACTTCTAAAATCACTTAACTTCCTAGCAAAAATTTATATGGCCCAATAATCCATATCGGAAATAGAAAAAAAAGATTTAATAAAAGGAAATTAAAGAAAATGAAAAATCAATAAATTTTTCATTATCGGAAAAATAAAATAGCAAATTAAATTAAATATAAATATAAAATTAATAATAATTAATAAATAATAATTAAAAAAAAGATCGCATAAGTAAAAAAGGAATCTCCAAACGAGATGCTTTTTTAATATTCTAAGAAATTCCATTATATTATTTTATAGAAAAATTTAATGAATTTAAATGGAATAGAGAAAACAAAAATGGGTAAAACAGCTCAGTATGTTTGGAGAACCAATGGGGTTCTGAGGTTATGCATGGCAAGAGTAAACCTGGTTATACTGGCGACTCCTCTATACTTCTATCGTAATTCGAATAATTCTCTGGCAAAATTTATTTGGTCCAATTAGCCAGCGGAAAATCTAACCAGCAATGGCGAATACTATTAGAACATAAACTGATGTAAAGCAAAAGCAAAATTGATTGTGAAATCGTTTTTTGAAATTTTTTCTAGACTGTCATTAAAAGAATAAATTGAATAGAATAATACATGGTATTATTTAATACTACAATCCACTATTTTCTAAAAAAATTAATTAAATTTTGCTTCAATTTTGTTGAGCGCTCACCATTTCTGGTAAAACTCGCTCTGCGCTAGCATGTTTATGCAGATAAATTTTATTTAGAGACTTAACGCTGGAAGTATAGTTGAATCGCCAGGATTTTTGAAGGATAAGGTTATTCCTGAAAGAAATAATAATAAAACCCGAACATGGATACTAAGAGTGCAACGATCCACTAAGCCATTTCATATTCCATTCTTCCATGAAATTTTTGTCAAACTTGACGATATGGAACTTTAAAATGTTATTAAACTTGTTATATTAAATTATATTTAATTATTAAATTATTATATTTGTTATGTTATATTAAAATGTTAAATAAATATTTTGAATTTGGTTGTTATCTTTTCATTTTTCTTTTTGTTAAATAAATTAATATTGGAAAATAAAATTTGCCCAACCGGAATTAATAAATCCATTTCGATATAGCTGAGCTAACATAAATTGTTGTGCCATTAATTGCATTAATGCAATTATTACATGAATTTGTTGTGGCAATGGCGGTGAATGTTGCCATGCAGATTTCATACATTTTAAACAACCATCTGAAAATTTTTTAGTTTAAGATTTTTTTCGAAATAAATTTTTTGCAAGCAATATTTATTTCATTTTAGCTTTTCATTTTTTTTTTAAATTATGCAAATTTCCTAATTAATTAAAAGTTTTAATAAAAAATTAGAAAAAATAAACTTTTAAATAATACTTTAGGATTTGAGATAATTATGGATTTCTTACGGATATATTTCTAATTTATCAAATATATTTATTTGATTAGTTGCAAAAAGTAGTTTTAAAGTGAATAAGAATGACACAAATATTAATTTCTCGCCTGGATAATTAATAATATTTCTATATTATTAATAATTATTAGTGTGCTTAAGTGAAATAGAATGGCGAAGTGGGAATTATTGCAGTTTTGCTGCAAGTAGTTGGAGCAAGTAGTTTATACTGCAGCTATAAACCAATAATTATCACAAAAGTTTAGATGAATATTGCAATTTACGAAAAATCATCCAACTACTCATTTGATAAATGAGCAACTGACGTATCTTACGTAATTGATACTTATGATAAAATTATGTTTATACTGATATACGCTTAAAATATCATTTTTATGGAAAAAAATAACTTAATAATAAAATAATAAATTAGAGGGAGAAAATTTATCAAAATCAATAAAAAATAAACAAACATAAAAATAAATAAATATATAAAAATAAGTAAAAATAAATAAATCCATCTAATTTGGATAATTGAAGCAAATGATCAAATATTTAAGATTTAATGCAATAAAATGGGGAACTAAATTATATTAGAGAGAATTTGCTGCAAAGGCAGCTAAGAAGACTTTTAATAAAATCGACGAAGCATACGATAGTTGAAAAAATTGCAAAGAAAATTGAATTAAGGACCAAATAAGAATGATCCATATCCATATTAATATTAATATTATATTCATATATTAATTATATCCATATTTTTGATATAATTTAATGGAACCAATGAAATGAAACAATCATTATATAGTTTTCTTCATTGCTAGTAAGATTGAGTGACACCTAACTAAGCTTCTATCCATAAATTATAGCTTTATAGAGAAGATTTGAGGACATCATCGAATAATCCAGAAATAGTTAAAGATGTTAGAAGAAGCTTCTTTATTATTAAGTTATCACTAAAAAACTACTTAAACTTATTCGGCTTAAACAAATACACTAAATAAATATGCCATAGCGATAGAAATAAAAGTAAGGTGCCAGTATCACCAGGATTTTTGGACAAAGTTTTCTCTGGATAATAGAATCTCAGCGCTCGGATTCGAACAACTCACTGAGCCATTCTACTCTTACCAGAAAGAAACCAGAGATGTATATCTAATATATCAGCAGCTCCAAAAAGCCAGTCTTCCTAAACCACGCATTATCCAAGAGATTTCTCGGAATTAAAGTGGTTAAAGTGGCTAAATAAATTTAAATAAATTTAAATAAGAATAAAAATTTGAAAAACTTATTTTATTGCGAAATGAATTCAAACCATTTACAGAAGTAAAATGAAAATATGTGGCAAAATTTGAGTTAAAAAAAAGAGCTTTTAAATCTTAGCATTTTTTGACGAATATTCACTCCATGAACGAGTTTGAGGTGAAAACCAACAAATATATCGATGAAATATTTTAAAAATATTGAAGAAGCTTAAACTATAGCTATAACTTAACTAATTTAAAATTATGGTAAATAACTTTTTGTAATACTTACTAAATACAACGAATATTTATGAACAATGAATATGCAACCTTTTCGTTTTAGCAATAGGTCTGAAGATTTTAGAAAAAAATCATTAATATTTTGATAAATTTGTGATCTCATAATCAATCAACATAAATGCCAATCACCAATAAAATTTAATCATTTCTCTTTAGTGTATTTTTATAAGACCTATTTTCCCAGAGCAAAACATTCATCATTCATCATCATAATCACGCTCTTATTCATGCTATCACAGTATGTAACTATTTCCTCGGGGGGCGAAACGCATAGAAGAGATCAAAATTAGATCAAAAATTTCTGGGGAGTATCTTAATAACTTAACAGAATTGCAATTATTTCCATCGAATCGAATCAGACTTCCATTAATTTCTACTTTTTTATTTTTTTTTACCTAAATTATTTAGTTTTTGGTAGCAATCCAAAGAGATTGCACAAAAGATTGCAATACATTCATATATTTTATTATAATTCGCCTAAACAGTGGTTGAAAGGTCGATTTACTTTTATAAATATTCAACGAATGGAATAAAATTAATGGAAATTACAACTTAACCTGAATTTATTACTAATCCATTGAAAATTATTAACAATAGAAGAAAGTATTAAATAAGAAATTATGAATAACATTCTTTAAATTTTTATTAATTCTCTATTTTATAAATTTTATGGGAGATGAATGAATAAGGAAATTAGTGAGAAAACTTAATTTCAATCTCAGTTTACAATTTATTAATTAGCATATCGAATAGACTTTCTTTCTAGGAATCCTCATCATCACTGGTTAAACTCACTCCACTAGCTTGTCGCATTGGGCAATATGCTAGGAGGAGTCCCTTGGCGATAGAAACACAGGTGAGTCACTAGCATCACCTGAATTTTTTACCTCTGCGAAAAATCGAACCTCAGCATTTGCGCTCCTAATTGAGCATTCTATCCCCGCTGAGCCATTCTACTCCCACGCTTTTAGAAAAAAGAACAGAAATGTAAAATTTTGATAAGATAACATTCATAGTTATCACGCAATACTAAAGGTCAAGTCTATAATTATTTACTAAGAAAATTATATACTTGAAATAATAATATCAAATAATAATATCAAAATAAAGAAAAGATGAGATCGTTAAACAAATTAAGAAAATTTCTCCTCCCCCTCCCCCTTCTTCCATAAAAAAAAAAGAAGAAAGACTATGGAATGTAATGATAATTATTGGTCAACTAAATCTATATTTGCGCAACAATAAATCCCAATATTAGATAAACTATTTCGAATTGAATCAGAGAAAATAAATTAAATAAATAAATGTTTAAATAAATAAAAGTTGACTGACAGCGAAATAGGTCAAATCAAAAGTTATTCGTGGTTTTAGAAGAAGAAATATTTCTTTTTTCTCATTTGAAAATTTAAAGTTTTTAACGAAGCATGAATTAGCCAATGTTCGATTGATCTTTTCCTCTTCTTATGTTTTGTCATTTTGTTAAATATAATTGTTTAGTAAAATATTTGGTAAAAAAAAAGGAAAGATTTTCTTATGTTTATGATAATTTCTTGGTTAAATACTCAGCAAATACTCAGCAAAACCTTCTTTCTTCTTCTAACAGTTCTCACCATTACTGATAAGGTTGGCTCCCGTGGCTATAAAGAGATAAGACACCTCTAAACTATTCGATCCAATCTTAACGAAAATAAAAGGAAAAATTCGAATGGTGAATGAAACGAATAAATGGATTCGAATAAAAATTTTATTTTATAAAAATTTAAAACCTTTAGATTGCATATCGCATGACTGAATAACTCTTTCAGCTCGATCACCAAGTCGATCATTATCTCCCGCTATATTTCCCGATTTGAATACACCAGACGCAATAAATAATACTAAGCCAGGAACACATATCGAATATAAGATAATATAAACTTTCAGCCATAATCTTGGATATGCCCCATGTGGCCATTTCATTTCGGAATAAAGTTTATAGCGTTCAAAACCAAGATATAACAAATATGATTGCAAAAGCACAATAATAATCGTATACCAAATAGACCATAAATTGTTGATTCGCGCATGAAATGTATAAGCCATTTTGAATTCGATGATGAATATAATAGTTTAAGAGGTATAAAGAGTTGAGATAACTGATAAGCACTGATAATGACTGATTAATAATTAATTTGATATAGGATAAATGAATTGAAAAGGAAATATAATCGATATAATAGAAGAAATAATATAAATTGCTTTGGCTAGCGATATAATGGTCATTATTGTTGTTAAGCAGATTCGGGACGACGCAATAGAAGAGTCTTCACACTGATCGAATAATAGAATACGAAACGGACAACAAGAGTATATATAATCAACCGATCATTCGCCTGGATGGGAAAATAAGTGTCGTTTGCCCAAAGCAATTGGCAAAATATAAGAAGGAAAATTCAATAAATGAGTAGCTTGAGAGTAGTATATATCGATATATATGGAGAGCGTTTGATTCAATATGATGACACTCACTCCGCCTTTCCCTATATAAATCTATACTATTCCATAAAATTTATCTGTTCTTTTGAAAGGAGATCTTTGCTTTTTAAACTTTCTGCCTTCTCATATTATTAATTAAGCCAAAAATTTTGGCTTAAATTAGCCTGAAAAAAGAAAAAATTCTTCTAAAATAATTAATTTCGAAAATTCGAAAAGACGAAAAATTTTTACTTATCGAAAAATTATCGGAATAAACAACCAGAGAATTCATATATAATATGTATGGATTTAAAAACGATGAAAAAAGCAAGGTGATGTCTTCCTAGGTTACTTTTAGATATGGCATCGGATCGACTGGCTTCTCTTGATATTCCATTCGCTTAAGAATCAATAATTATAGGAACTATTAGAAGAAAAATAATACGAAATTTTAAATCAAATAGTCAAAATTACCAAAATAACATAACGAAACAAAATCTAAAAATCAAAATCTAAATCTAAAAATTCCTATTATTCGTCCATAATTTCTTCAGTTATCATTAATTATCAATTATTACCAAAATTATAAACAATATCAATTATCGTCACTGATGAATTATCCAAAAAAAATTGAAATATACCAAAAAATATTTGAAATCTGAAATTAGTAGGCAGATCACCTGAAATTAATTATAATATTACGAAAAAAAAAGAAAGAGAAGGTAAAAGAAAAAAATTAAGAAATCGAAAGCCTTTAAGACAATACGAGAAAAATTTTTACGTTTACACTTTTCATATTTGTTTTCCACATTCGAAAGAGATTTTCGAAAAAACTATTTTTATTTTTTTTATTTCTAACTTTAGATAAATATAAATATATGATTAAGCAAGTTGATTAATTAAATATTTCCCTTTTTCTAGTATACGCCATTCATCCTTGGTTGGAATGGAATCAGCAGTTACTAAACTAATATATCATTTTGCTGAAGAATTGCTCAGTGATAAGGACGATTTTATAAAAAATCTTGTTATCAGTGATAGATTTTAAAAACAGAAATATTACTCAACCATCGATTACACGAAAAATCCTTTTTTTTGTTTTATAGGCAACTAAAAACTTTACTTGAAAAAAACTTTTTCCCTTTAAAAGATGATTTATGATTTTTTTTTTTGTAAAGATGATTTATGAATGTGAAAATTTTAAATATATTATTGCGAAGGACAAGCTTTGAGGATTTCAAATAAATGTTAAAGTGTCAAAGTGCTTTTATCGAAATACGAAATTTTTAAACGAATTTATCATCGAAATAAAGATTATTTGAAAATGAGGAAATTCCATGCTAGCGAAACATTAGTTTTTGATAAAAGAAATGGAAAATAGATTTTTGCTTTTTTTCTTTCTTCCATTTTTATTTGATGATTTATTGGTCAAACGTTGAGTTTCAAAAAAGAAAAATCCCTTTCCCACTCCCAGTGGGTGGTGAGGATTGCCCGAAACCTAGGATCCTCCACCAGAAGCCAGAAGATTGAGAGTTATGCGCAGTATCTTGGCATTTTTTGGCTCTTCTGGACAGATATCTCTGACGTGAATGAAGAAATCCCAGAGGATCTTTGCTTAATTATCCAAAATTTTCTGAGGAATCTCCCATCTATTCTTGAGAGGGTGTAAGCCATATACTGAGCAGATATATATATATATACATATATATATATACATATATTTATAAATAAAAATTCTCTTCTCTTCCTTCTTTCTGATATACTTACTTCAACCTTGGATCTTTCATCGTAGATTTGGGAATTTGTTGGTTTGGTCTGAGTCATTTTTAATACTATTTTCTTCTAGAGAAAGACCTCTGTTGTTATTCCTGGGGCTATTTTTTCAATTTAGGAATAACTGCGATATTTTTGTTACCACTGGGATTATCTTTGCCTTTCCACATTCTCTTTATTTTCTTTTTCACCTTAAACCTTATTATGTTGTCCTTATTCTGTATAAAAGAAACAGAATATATTTTAGGAAAGGCTTAGATCATTTCAGGAAAAGACAGGTGATTTCGCAGAAAATCTTGGAGAATAATAAACCCAAAAACCAATGAGACTTGCTCATATAAACACTGGCTCAACCAGATACTATGATAATAGGAAAGAACCAGAAAACAAATGGTGATAGATACAGCAATATCAGAGAAATGTCAGGAAGAAGAAGTATGATAAACTAGACTCCAGGGATTGAAAAAGGAACTAGGAAAGACGTGGAAAATTAAGGTCAAAATATTTCCAGTAGTAGCGGAAGCATTAGAGATTATAGCTATTAAACTGGATACGTGACTCCAATAGATCGACAATTTGAACAACATTTGAAAAACAACAATATCATAATAGATTTTCTGCTCTGAAAAACGTGCTTCTAAAGATGGCTCAGATAAGATACTGAGCTAAGATACTGCACAGCACCCTCGACAAGCCTTTGATAAAGAGCCGAGGTTAAAAATGACCCGTATGACCGATAGTGGATGAAGAGGAGATATTTTTTATTTAAAATACTATAAAAAATTTTCAATCTACTTGCATTTTTAAAAATATTAAAAATAGTTTTAATGATATTTAACGATTTTTTTTTTTTACAACTCTGTCTACTGAAAGCTTTATTACCTAAAATAAAACAATAATAGTAGGGAAGAATATTTAAAAAATTTCGGAATATAGACTAAACAGGTGGAACGATGGCAGACAACTTTTTTAAATATTTTTATTGAACACCATATATTTACTAAACTCATTTATCGATGTCTTTTGAGACAAACAAAATAATAATATTCAAAGCTTCACCTATTCAACTATCATAAATAATATAAAATTTCTCGCAAGTAAAAAATATATTTCTTTAACGATTATAAAATTAACTAATGCATAATAATGGTGCTGAAATCGGATAAATTCATTACATACAAAACTAGCAGAATTGGCAGAAAATAAATATTAACGTTAAAATTTGAAATTTGTAAAATTATAAAGTGCTCTTTAAGTCACGAATTACATGTTTGGCTAAATATTGGCAAAATCTCCGAAAATTCTCTAAATATGTCAATCAAAATTAAACCAAAAAGCAATAGATTTAAATATAATCTGACAATATTTAAAGATTAGATAATTATTATAATTATCGATATTCATAAAAAGATGGAATTCAATTTTTATCAAATATTATAAAGCAATAAAAAAATTTTTTAGAAAAAAGATTAATTTCATCTAATTTATGGACAATTAAAATTTTTAAAAATTTAGATTTTATCACACTATCATTTTATCATTTAGATTTTAAATAATATGGCAAATTGTTTAATTTCAATGAATAAAATATCTATGAAATTTATTGTTTTGATTTTATAGGAAAAAATTATTTATTTATGATCAAATCTACTTCATCCTTTTTTTAAAGAACATCCACCATTGTTGATTAGATTCGCTCCATTGGATTGTAGAAATAGAAGTGCGATTGTGTCGCCAGCATCACTTGGATCCTCAGCATGATATTTTGCCCTGATTATTCGGCTTAATGACAAGTAGAGCCAATTAAATCATAAATACTGAGATGAAGAAGATCCTCATCGCTTAAGAAATAAGATATCAACTAAGGGTTTTTTTAAATAGAAATCCTTGAATAACAAAACAAAACAAAAAAATGATAATTATGAAAATGACATAATTAAAATAAAATAGAAATGATTAAAAAGTAAAAAAAATTTAATATGAAAAATAAATAAATACGAATTGAAAAGAAAAATTAAATTATTAATTTATTTTATTATTATTTTATCATTAATATAAATTATTAAAATTAAAATTAATAATGTTGCAAAATTATAATCATTATAATCATTCTTTTTTTCTAAGATTTAAAAGACTGTTTAAAAAAAAAAATTGACAAAAAACCAAATATTTTGTTGAGTATATGATTAATGCCTTATAAAACAGGAGATTTAGAACACTTCTAATAATTTGATAAATTTAATAATTTATAAATTTAAACAAAAAAAAATTGGCAAAATAATGTGCATAAACCGTAAAATGTCGACAAATACAACATTAAAATTTTTTCAAAAGGCAAATTTTAAAAAGTGGAAGAAAATTGGTATTTTTGGTATTGGTTGGTATTTTTCATTCAGTGATAAAGCGTTCACCATTTTTTGGCTCATTTAGACTCGTCACACTGGTTGTTGGTAAAGAAAAAATTTGGCTAAGAATTTGAATCATGAGCAATATTCGAACTTTTTAATGGTAGACTTACGTCTATCCAAACTTTGCCGCCATTCTGTGATCCTATATTATTATTTGCTGAAATGATAAAAATATATTAATTGTGAAAAAAAAAATTTTTTTTTTAAAAAGTAGAAATAGAGATAGTAGTAGAAAAAGTTTTTTTTAAAAGTAGAGACTATAAAAAGTAGAGATTTGTCAGAACCATATATATTAAACTGAAATCAGTTGATGAAATCAAACTTTTAACGCATACATAAATTTTTACCACAGGTATTAGGCAAGAGCCAAGGTTTAGATTTTTAAGGATTTAAGTTGCAATTAGGCTATCAATAACGATTTGATTGAAATATATCATAGAGATTATA